CTCACAGTTAAGCAAATGCATGACACTAAAGACCTTCCATGGCCTGTAAAAAGCTAAATTATAAATTTTAAGCCTTATAGGCCAAACTTCTTGGTTGCAACCACTCAGCTCTGGCACTGCAGCCTGAAAGCAGTGTAGATGTAAACAAATGAGCACGGCTGTGTTCCCATAAAACTTTCTTTACAACAGGCACTGATCAGCCCTGAGTAGCTCGCTCATATCTACAATTAAGGTACAACTGTTAAAAGGTGACACTTTAGCAAAATGAATTGGAAAGAAGCTTCAAAATATATGCAATTACTTGAAGATAACTTCAAGTGATTGAGAGCATCTAATATGCTCTCATAGTCATAAAAATGACTAGAATTTGGCATATCCTCAAATCATTAATATTTTTTCTGTTTTAAATATAGTTGAAAAAAAGCAATGACATTTCCCTAATACTCTCTATTACAGGAGAACAGATTCTATTCATAAAGGACCTTTTATTTTCAAGATAAAACTCAAGGAATGAGTTCTTTGATGGAGGTGAAATGTAGGTCTGGCAGATTTATAGATAATTTAAATCTGCCATTATTTCTTAAATGTTACACAATTAGAATAACTTGCAAATTTTACACATGTACATTAAAGTGTTCCTTCCTTATAGGAAGTAAACTATATTTATTTATCAGAGAATCAGAGAGGCTCCACCACCATACCATTGCCTGGCATTTCTCCTTTAATCATTTCTTAGTGACTTAACAATGGCAAAAGTTTTATACCCTCCATGGATGGAAGAGAGCAATAAACCCAACACGGAAGAGAACAAGAAGAGGACTTAATAAAACCCTTACAGAAAGAATCCTTCATTAGTGACAATCAAGAGACTTCTACAATGAAAAATACAAAGTAGGGCTGACAGAAATTAAAGACGTCTCAAATAAATGAAAGGAGATACCATCTTCACAGATTAGAAGACCCAATATTATTAAGATGTCAATTCTCTCTAAATCCATCTATAAACTCAATGTATTCCTAGTCAAAATCAAGAGGTTTTCTTTAGTGAAAATTGACAAGCCGATTCTAAAATATATGTAAGTGCAAAGGTCCCAGAATAGCCAAGGTAATACTGAATAAGAACAAAGTTAGAAGTCAAGATTATATAGTTACGATAATTAAAGCGTGGTATTAGTTCAAGGACAGCGAATAGAGCACCACAGACCAGCAGAGTGTGTACTTGTGGGGCCTCCTTTTCTTCCAGTGATAACGCAGGTGACATGTTACAAAAATGAATAACTGAGCCGGGCGCGGTGGCTCACGCCTGTAATCCTAGCACTCTGGGAGGCTGAGGCGGGCGGATTGCTCAAGGTCAGGAGTTCGAAACCAGCCTGAGCAAGAGCGAGACCCCGTTTCTACTATAAATAGAAAGAAATTAATTGGCCAACTAATATATATATAAAATTAGCCGGGCATGGTGGCACATGCCTGTAGTCCCAGCTACTCAGGAGGCTGAGGCAGCAGGATTGCTTGAGCCCAGGAGTTTGAGGTTGCTGTGAGCTAGGCTGACGCCACGGCACTCACTCTAGCCTGGGCAACAAGCGAGACTCTGTCTCAAAAAAAAAAAAAAAAAAAAAAAATGAATAACTGAAAGAGCAACTGGCTAACAAAGTAGAAAACGCAACAAAGAAATGAAACGTGATAACACTGAGTCAAACATAAATGGAGTTATGGAAGAAACAGCTGACAGAGATCCTTGACACTGTTGCCCTTTGAAAGATGGATGTACAGCCACAGGAACTGAATGAAGCCAAAACTCAGCATAAAGTGACTGTGATGAAAAGGATGAAGATGTTTCAGAGAAAGTGATGCCAGCAAAAGATATTTCACATTAAAGTAACTCTTGATATTTCACAACATTGAAATCACAAAGGCTAAAACGTTGGAAGCTGATCCCAAACTTAGCAAGGAGTACGACAATTCACTAAAGCTTAGAAAAGATGCTCACTCTGTACTGCAAGTCACACGATAAGGCAGCAAGCAAGCATTGTTGAAATCACTCTTTGTAAGACTTATCCAAATAAAAATGCTTTAATTCTCAATGTTTCTAATGCTTTAAATTACAGTGTACTAATTAAATATTAGTTTTACTATTTTTCCATTTTCCAAAACATTTATAACTGACAATGAGAGAATTTTTAATGTTTTTTGACAAACTTTTTTCTCTTTTTGAGACAAGGTCTCACTCTATCACCTGGGCTAGTGTGGCCTGACATCAGCCTAGCTCACTGCAACCTCAAACTTCTGGGCTCAAGTGATCCTCCCGCCTCAGCCTCCTGAGTAGCTGAGACTACAGGCGTATACTAACACGCCCAGCTAATTTTTCTATTTTTTGTAGAGACAGGGTCTTGCTCTTTCTCAGGCTGGTCTTTTTTTTTTTTTTTTTTTTAGGCATTCCCAAACATTCTGTAATCAGGCTGGTCTTGAATTCCTGGCCTCAAGCAATTCTCCCACATTGGCCTCCCAGACTATAGGCAGCAGCCACTGCCTCTTGATGTTTTTGACAAACATTTTTAAAAGTAACAGAACAATCATAATTTTCTCTCATTGAGTAAGAACATGATTTTGCATGGTTTCAACTTGCACATTTTTGTGGTTCCATTATTATGCAAAGCAGGAATGCCTATATTTAAAATTAATGCGTTAAATGTACCATTTAAGAAATTATAGAAAAATGTCAATGAAAAAAGCTGGTATTGTTTTTAAGTTCTCAAATATTTGTAAATATGTGAAGTGGCAATAGAAAGGTATATTTCTAGTCACTGATACTTCAAAAGCCACAAGGCACATCATTGCACTTCATCTTCAACCTGCAAGGTGAAGCTATCATCCACTTTAGGTATGACTAATCCACTTATAAAGGTAAGTATTGCCCAAGGTCACACAATAAGTTGACAAAAGCAATGTAATAACAGTAACCTTTACCAAGCAACTCTTAGGTGCCGGGCAGCATACTAGCTGGCAGAGTCTTAGAGGAAAGTAAAATCTGGCCTGACCTCATCGTCCTGGATCATAGGATCTTTTCTGAGCTCCAGCTGGGTGCAGTGAGCCCTGAAGCCCAGGTAACATTGACGTCTCTACCATCCTTGGAAGGTGACTGCCTCCATAACCCTTGTTCAGTATTGCTTGGCTGCAAAACACGTTACTAGGGACATGTGACCCAATGTGGTCACCTATGGAGGTTATCTCTTACCCGCATGCAGAAAGAGGTGATGGCCAAGTTTACCCTTAGGGCCTACAGCCACCCCAAGGGAACACTGCACCCTGCAACCACCCAGGAAGAAGTCATCCAACAGGCTCCTGAGAATGAAGTGAGGTGACAGATGAAGTACCTGGCACAGTGGACACTTAACAAGATCCGAGTTTCTGTTTGGAAGCACAGCAACACAGAAATTAAGCAATACTTCTAAGAAAACTCCCATATGTTAATTCTCTTTAAGCCTATGATCCTTAACCAATAATGCCTGGTGTTTATGGTCAGAATCCTAGTGAAGCGTCCATTTCCAAGGGACTGGTGACTGCTAATCCCTACACCTGCCAGCCCACTCTGCTGCTAATGATAACTTCTCATCCCCTTCTTGAAAAGATCCCCATTGAGGGGGTCCCATGTTCTTTAGTGACCGCTTCCCAGCTGGCTCTTTCCTGTTCCCTTTGCCTCAGTGAAGAGCAGCACAGTGCAGAGGTGAAGAGCTCAGATTCCAAAGTCAGACCACTCACTAGTTGTGTGACCTAGAGCAAGTACCTTCACCGTGCTGGCCTTATCATAAGAGAGAGAGTACAGGCACCTACAGCCGACTCCCAGGGCTGCATGAGAACTCAGTGAGAAAATGCACACAGTGCTGTGCCCTGGGCCTGCATGTAGCCCTTATGTTTGCTGTTACTGCTACTGTGTAAACATGGGCATCTCAAACCGCTTATGGGGAAAAAGCAGTTTAGGCAATTGTAGGCACACTGTGTAAGAACATACTAATTGCAAGAAAAGACTGAAAAGAAATACAGCAATGATCAAGTGGTCATATGAGGGCGCTGGTTTTCATTTTCTCTGTTCCCCCAACTTTCAACATGAGGCTGTGGGGATTGTGGGTGAGAACAGCCGCTGAGCAGAAGATGCAGGGAGGAAGAAGGGGGAGGAAATAGAGGAGAGAGGCTGAGGCAGGGGAAATGCACGATTTAATGATTATAAGATACCTAAAGACTTAAAAATTAAACAACAAAAACATAAGGGCAGGGGGAAAAACCAACTACCCTAATGCCCTACTCTTTGTCAGTGTTTAAATTTCTGCTTTCCAAATAGGAACAGACTGGGAAGGATGATTGTGGTCTTTTGGAGAACTAAGTGAAAAAGGACTCAGGAAAAACAACAGTTACACCCACAACCTGGCCTATGTGGCAGAAAAACATTATTCCAATCAGAGACATGCACAAAACTCAGAAGCACCATGTACATCTAAAGCATGGCTAAAGCAAGAAAATTTCTTTAAGTCCTTCCCTTTTATTGAAGGTTTTTTGAAAACAGACCTTTAATACTAGAGATACCTGATGTCAGGACTGTCATCAGGCGATCTCCTAACAGTGATGTCCTTTCCTTCTCTGTATTTCTTGGCTACCATACTGGAGAAGGCTTTCTGGCAGCTGGGTAATAGGAGTGTGATCTAAATTGGGCCATGGGAATTGAGGTGCTGTGTGCTGGGGCTGCTGGGCAAAGGTCATCTCCTTTGTAAAAGAGCACACCTGAGAAGAAATTCCCCTCCCTGCCTTTGGAGACACTGGGAAGAGAGAGGATGTGATGGCTGGACTAACAATGGCAGCTGTCTTGGCACCATGAGGAACTGAGCATGAGGATGAGAAGAGAGAGAGAAGGAACCCGAGTCCTTAGTAATGATTAACTAACTGGGAACCTACTTCTCCTGGCCTTACATGGAATAATAAAACATGCTTACTGATTAAATCACTATTAGTTGGGTATTTTGTTACTTTTGGGCTAAAGCATCCTAAATTATTCACACAGCGATGTGTGAGCCAATATTAGAAGATGTCTAAATGGAATTATCTACTGCTAGAATTCAGAAATGGTGTGCTGTAGCTCTTACTGATAGAGTCCAATCCAAAAATGATTCATGATCTCCACATATGTAATAATACCTCAAGTTTTCTCATATGAAATTTATAAGTTTCATAATGAGGTTATGAATACCAATATCAAAAGGCAGTAACTAGACAAAAAAAAAATCTTAGAAAATGAGAAAAACAAAACAATCTACTTTTGGTCCTTCTTTTTGTCTATGAATTGTCCACTACTCTTCCATATAGGAAATTTAAACAGATAGAGGGTGGTATTTTAGTCTAAACTTTATCAACAACAAAATAAAAGCTAAGTGAGTCAAAGAAGTTAACTTTAGACTTCCAAAAGCATCTCTTCCTGAGATAGTATTTTATCATGAAATTGCTATAAATGAGTAGAAAATCAGTAACTACATGGGATAGTGAATGTGAGTGAAAGGACAACTTGAAACAAAGGTTATAAAATAAAACTTGAAGCAAAAGTTATTTCCTGCTCCCTCTGAATAAAATACATATCCAAATGAAAGAAACTTTACCATCGCAACATATTTTCCTCACTGAAACTGAAGTTCTAAGCCCAAGTGTTTATAACAACATTGTTGCTGTGGAAATAGTTGATTCAACACCATGAACTCACAGCTGAATAAAGTAAGGTGTGGAACAGAAGTCTTATTTAAACAGTGGCAGGACCTATAAAACATTAAAAAGGCAAGCTGCATGCCGGTGAATCAGAGCACCATATGTTTTAATGTGAGGGTCACATATGTTTTTTTTTTCTTTCTGATGCATGACACAAATAGGATGTTTCTTTTTAATTTAGTTCTATTTTTGGAAGCCTATAATCATCTCAACTACTCCCCCCAATAACCTAAGGTTTGCTATCTGCTTCTGTCCACATACGGCAGCCTGTATTTTATTAAATTGATTGACCAGAGTTACTACAGTTCAGTCCTTGCCAGAACACTCAGACGTTATGGCACCCACCAAGGGCACAAGTCAGGATTTTACTTCTCCATGTAGTCAAGTCTCTTAATTATGGCACACTGACTTATTCATCATAGGGCGTAACTTCTGGTGTATAGTTTCCTTTGTGTCTGCAGCTTTATAAATTCGAGCACAAAGTTGCCAGAGAACATGAGTGAGAATTCAGACCCAGTCTGAGTCAGTTAAGAGTTTCCAACAATCCTGAAAACCCTAGAGATAACCCAGTGTGAAACGGGGTGAACTGTCTGCACCTTCCTGAGATGCTGGCTCCTCCTCTGCTCTCCACTTCCCACTTTTTAACTGGAGACGGCTGCACTTTTCTTTAAATGCACACATACTTTTACTGCTCTTTTCCTTGGGTTTTCTGAACCTTTCAAATTATGATAAACGTTTTTAAGCCAGAAATTTACTCTTTGTACAATAAAACATATTCAAGTTTTTAAAATGAGGGTGACACGTGGGACTATTTAAAAAGCGACCTTTTCTCCTTAGGAGTGAAGTGTCTCTGTAAATAGAAACCCAGGTCCCCTGCCCAGGGCGTGGCTGCCCTCTGCGTCTGCACAGGAGATCGATTCATACCAGCAAAACCGGAAAAATCACAACTGAAGGCAACCGTGGAAGCTGCAAGAGCCAAGAGCAGGACGTAAAGGAGTCGGGTTTTCTACTAGGTGAGTCACAGGAAACACTCCTGCCACAGTCTGGAGGCCCAGCTCCCCCATCGAGAGGGAATGTAGGTCAAACTCCTCTCCTAGGGACTCGACGCAGAAGCCGAAGTTCCTAGGAGAGCAGAGAGGCTGGCACAGAAATTATTCAGCCACAGTCCTTCCCCTTAGCCCTCAGGCACCAGCCTGGCCTGCCTCAGTTTCCACAGACTATGGTCTAGCTCCCTTTCTATTCTGGATTGGGGCACCTCATGTATTCTTATCAGGGTTCATGGGGATGAAGTTGGGTTTACATATTAGGAACCATCAGCTCACCCAGCTCAGTTGACACCGGGGACCCAGTAGCAATCTCACCAATCTTGGCCACTCCATCGTAGTAGGCTTTTCCTGCCAGGATCATAGCTAGACATGGAAGGTGAAACACAAAATCATCACTTAGACAAGGAAAGGAGGAAGCAGGGTTAGGGGGGAGGACCCATCCATGGGAGAGCCTCATAGGATCCTCACCTCAGGCCAGCCCCAAGGAACCGTCAGCAGCTGGTGCAAAAACATCCAGAGAAAGTCCTGCCTATTCCTAAAGCCAGTTTCAGAATGGATGTGTTCCTGACACTGAGGGCTGGGAACACATGCTCTCCAGCAAAAAAATCTTTTCCAAAGTGGTTATTCTATAGCACTACAAGTTTGTAACACATTAGTTAGGAGGACTTGTGTGAGGTAAGGCCTAGGAACCTGGTCCTTCAATGGTATGTTCACTTTTTCTATTGAAAAAGACATTCTGAATCACAGCCAATCAACTTATTATATTTTTTGCTGGGGCGAAAATATATGAATTATCATTCTGAAAACAATAGAATTGCCTGAAAAATAACTGAATGCTTTTCTTTTTTTTTTTTTTCCTTTTTGGCAAAGACAGGAAAATTTTTATTACTATATAAGCTGGGTTCTAATTATCTTAAAAATATTTCTCCCTTCAAACTGATTCTGAAGACTAAATTATAACTACATGCCCTTGACAAATTACTTATCCTTTCTGAAACAAAGGTTGCTCGTCCATGAAATATCCTGAAATGTGAGCAGTGGATAAAAAATAGTAGCTCCTAGTGCCAACTGCTTCTTTCTCTTTGCAAGCTGGGTCTGAGAGGCTTGAAGGTGTACCATAAGCAAACTTTTCAAAAGACCTATTTAGTATGGTTTTGGAGAAAATCATTTATTTTATTTTACTCAAAGATTAATTTCATACATAGGAATCTGTTTCTCCTGGAACTTTGGAGACCAGAGGATTTTGGAGCTAAAAGAACCCTCAGGAATCCCCTCATCCAGTTGCTTCCTTTCGCCTATGGAAAAACCAGAGGCAGCAATGGCTTCTGAAGTGCTGTGTCCCAGTGTATAATGGGTACTGTTCTAACAGGGTGGATTTTAAAAGGCAAGCATAAAAAAAGGTGTGTGTATATGGGGGGTACAGAATTAATTTATGTACAGGTCCAAATAAAGGTACTGGAAGTCAAAAGAGTGGTATTTTTCTGGAAAATTAATCTATTATAGCATTTATTATAGAATTAAAAAATTACAGAAGTTATGGCTTTTACTATATAGTAGTATGTATATAAGTTTAGGGAATGTAATGCTATACTATACTATTATTTTATAAGGCAAGGAGTAACCTTAAAGTGTAATTATAAAAAGAACGATAGCAATTGGCATTTACATGGACTTTTCAAGCCATTACTTAATCTGGTGACAAGGTTAAGACATGGGTTGGTAATGTTATCGGCTGGGTTCACTAAAGGGTTGGAGATATTATGGGGGCGTGGCCAAGGTCATTGGTGAGTCAGTGGCAGTATACACAGCTCCAGCTAGGGCACTTCACTTCCTTGGTTCTAAATTATGGTGCTTTTTGACTCTTTCCTCTCAGAACTGAAGAAAAAGGGACACCACCTAAAAACAAGGTATATAGCCAATAAACTGTCAAGTTAATATATGTAATATCTTAGTATTAAGATTTTAAATTGTAAAGTTCTGTCTGATAAGCTGAAAAGCAAACTAGTGGGAGAACAGCATGCAGGATTACACAATATTTAAACAAAATTTTTGGTTTGCATCAACACATTAAACTGAAATTTTTCACTAACTGTTGTTGACTTATGTTTAAAACCATGTAACGTTCTCAGTCTTGTAAAATCTTTGCTATTATGATAAATATTTTCATAATTTTACTTCCCTTTGTGAACACATTAAGGTATTTTCTACTGCTTAGTGTTTTAAGAAATGAAGCATTTTAGTTCTATTTCAGTTGTTGGCCAACTACTTCATCAACCTAGGTTAATCTACATACTCCACCTGAAAAATTTTCCTTAAAATATGGTTTCACTGAGTTACTTTTATGCTGAAAAGCCTTCAGGGGCCTCCTGCTGCCCACGTTATAAGCCCTCGAGCTCATAGTAAGTTTTTACAGTAATGGCCTTCTGTGAATCATTCCTCCCAGAATTCCCAGCCTATGGGGTCCCCTACTACACTGACAGGTGGCTTGGCCTTGTGACTTGCTTTGGCCAATGGGCTAACAGCAAGTATGTCTCCCACGGGCTTGTTCTCTTAGGACATCACTGATAAGGTGTGAGGATCCAGTCTGGCCTCCTTGAAGGGGAAAGACCCCATAGGGAGATAGTGCACCCAGCCCCCAACCCAGGTCCCAGTTGATCGAAGCTTCAGGAGTGAGCCCCAGGGGTGCAGAGAACTGCTTGCTTTTACAGGAGAAATAATAAGCTATGTTGTCCTAAACCACCAAGTTTGCTATGCAGCAGGAGATGACTGACATTGCATTCCAATGCACATGCTTTCTGACCCCATCCCACCTGTTCCCCACCAGCATCTTACCTGGGCCAGTGTGGACCCCAGGTCTTGGCTTAGTTGCAATAGCAACTAAGCCAAGGCAGGCAGTCTCTGCCTCAGTTTTCTGCCTGAGGCAGAGACTGCCTGCAGAAGCCCAGCATCTGTCAGCTAGCCAGCGCCTGCAGGCTTTCTGCCTGCTCTAGTCCGCACTGACCCCTACTACTCAAATTCCCATAACACTGGTCTATACTTCACTCTCAGCCATTCACATGCTGCCCAGTGTTCTAACCTAACTGTCAACTGCACATCTGGCAGCCTCACTATCCTCCAAATTCTTACCAAGGACTTTACAAATTTATCTGAATTTCTCAATGGCTTCAGCAAAGTACAACCAGATGGCCTGCAGAAACTCCGGGAATACTTTGTAAAGTACAGAATACTCCCCTGGAGGTGTTAAAGTGATAAGAGCCCTTTGGGGAGGAGCCTTGCTGGCAGGAGGGTGAGCTGTGGGCGGCTCACTGACTCACCTTGTAAAACTCTGCCTCAGAGAGGCAGCTCATGCTAGAAAGAAAAGAAAAAGACTGCAGGTCACAGTGATTTACTTCACAAGGACGTCTAAAGCAATGACTTTGTGGCCTTGTGACTAAGTAATCACTGAGGCAGTTAGCAGTGCAAGGCTCTGGCTCTCTGGATGAAGGGGACACAGATGTCACTGATACTGTTGGAGGGGAGAGAGGGAAATCCCAGACCTCTGCGCTTCCTGACACTGAAGCACAGAAAGCATCTGGCAAGAAAGCACAGAGATGCGGAAGAAAGTAAATGAGCAGTTTACTTTTCCAGCGACTACAACAACAGTGCTCCTAATCACCCAAAGTCCACGGTCTGGCCAGCACTCCCTTTCCTGGCGTGTGCTCATGCTGAGGGTGAGGACACAAGTTTGTCTCCAAATATCAACAGGGAGGAACCAAAGGTAGGGTGTGGCAAAAGAGAGACAGAGAGATAAGTAAAAGACACGAAACTTGATCCAAAGCTGCCTTCAAATCTGAAACTGTGGGAAACTAACTTTTCTACTTAAGTTAGTTGGCGGTCTTAGTGAGCCAAGGTAGAGGGTGAAACTGGAGTCTGAGTATTTTGGGGGTGACACCTGCTATACAGGGAGAATTGTCCTGACCATGTTAGAATCTGGTGATTATTAGCAGTTTAAGTTTTTGAGGTGATCGCTAATGCATTATAACAACATTCACTCTTTAATAGGGAAGGAAACACATGTGTAGAGGCATATCAGCTTCCTCCATAGAAACTTCTTCAAACTAGCAACAAAAACCTGAGGCATTTCTAAAATCTTTCATGCTCTTGGAGGCTAAAAAAACCTGAGGCAAACACTAATACTCAAATTCATTTTAAATGAAGCACTTATTTTGAAATGAGAATCTAAGTCCAACCTTTAATTTAGATGCTTTCACATTTAGGCTAAAAACATTATTTCTCATGTTACTATTAAAAGTGATACACCCCCCCCCAAAAAAAAAAGATTTTAAAAAAGTGATACATCTAAAGAAATTCTTATATATAAATAAAAGGAGACTAATTCCTGTGCTGCAGAATGTTAACATATATGTATTTTAAGTACACATTTTATACATATTTGTTACTGGTTTATAAAGAATTTGGTTAAAAAATAGAAAAAATGTTTATGGCAATGATATAAAAGAATGAGCTATGTCAAAGTAAAGATGGTTTGATAGTTAAAATACATTACATATATTAGTCTATCATTCAATTGACTCATTGGACATACACTAATATTGTGTACTATCACTGCAAAGTTCTGTGGATTAACTGTAAGTCACTTTGACCATTTAAAGATTTTTAAAAATTCAATATTAAACATTTAAAAATAATTAAAATATTTACTGAATGGCTTTTGTGTGTACTTTATATTTATCAACTTAGAAATGCAGGAAGACTTACCATTAACAGCTTTTTCATAATTTTTTCCTAGGTTTATTAAATTTCGTAGCCCAGGATTGAACTGTTCCATAACATTCTGACAAACAAACAAAATACACAAATTAATAAAATAAGCAGTAGACCAAGTAATCTTTAGATTTTGTCACTGTGTGAGGTAGGATACCTACATATGCTGAACAGTACAGTTCACAGGTAATGAATGCTGATTTAAAAATCACGAAGAACACGTTTCCTTACCTTACCTGGAACAGGAGTGCTTGCTTGTGGCAAGGTGTATGTAACCCTGCCAGTTCTCCAATTGCCCAAGGGACTGCCTAGAACCTACTATAAATGGAACAAGCAAGCAGCAGACATTCAGGTCTCACTACACCACATGGGGACTGTGGGCCCAGAGGCTAACCACACTCTCTTGGGTTTAAGTAGATTGTTAATGGTTGTCATGCTACTATTGAGAAACAGGTGTGCATAATCAGCTATCTGAACTTAATTATACGGGCAATGTTTTGGCTGTTTCAAGAGATTTTGTTTTTACTCTGCCTAATTACTGGGTGGGGCGGGGGGAGATGGGGTGGTTGGTGGCAGCCTAGGACACAGGCCCGCCTGGAACCTCCTTTCTAGGTGGCCACTGGCACTTGTTTCTAGTGATTGGTTTACTCACTAAGGACTCATGGAATAGCTACTGTGTGCCAGGTCTTGTGCACATAGCTAGGATGAGAAGACATGGCTCCCTCTTGGGTTTCATGATGCAGTATCCATGGTTTTCATTTTAAAACGTGTCATTCCTCTATCATTATATCATAAATGTAGAGACAGATGCTATGACATGTATAAGATGTGCAATTAATTAGAATGTTGGTCTAAATGTAAAATACCCTGATATGAAGTACAGACAACACATTACTCCTATAATGCTCTGACTTCATGGCTCAGAACACATGCTGATCATATGCATTTGTTCCACTGATGAAAAATGAGCTTCATGATATTAATCATTCCAAACAGACCAAGTCCCATCCCCTCTCTCCAAATATGTACTGTTTACAGACGACTAGATGATAACAATGGAAAACTACCCAACATTCAAAGGGGCAGCTACTGTACACACGTACCCTTCAGAATAAAAAGGCTCTCCTTTATGAATTATGAGAGAGAACATGATAACTTTTGTTTCTATCAAACAGTGATGAAGGCTTTGACGAACACTTTGATAAAAGCTTACAGTGACAAATAACCCATACCTCAACCTTTCCACACCTGGGGTCTTGCTCCCACGAGCACTTTCAACTAAGCTGTTATTCTTGTATTTACTGCCATAGTTTTGAATATTCTTGATTTCCCAGTTTTAGACAGTAGCTCCAGGCTTCCTACTACCATAGATAAGGACTGAGCTCTCCACACCACCCACTTTCCCTTTCCAATCCTTCCTACATGATTAAATGGCAATTTCCTGATAAATCAGCAGTCAGGGTTTGCTATGGCTTTCTAAATATTTGTCGCTACAATGCAAGCAGTGTACTAAGGATTACGTTTCCTTTCTTGGTAAAGCCTTTTTGTTTTTCCTGGGATTAATAATTGTCTCATCCACCCTTGCTTAGTTTTCTATGTATCTACCTTCAATTTTCCACATGCCTCATCAGATCTAGCAGAGGACTATGAATATTATTTTTCAAGTGAATAAAACTGTCAGCTTATTTTCCACTCCATTTTTTTCTCCAGAATGTCCTCCAAGGACTCTCCGTCCTCTTGCTCAGTCTGGCCTGACTGTTCCCAGTCTGCCACACTGTTGCCCTAGGATGGCCTTTCTGGTGGCCTGTGTCAGAGCTCTCATTAGCTGGATCCACATCTTCCTCTCTCTTCTTTCTCTCTTCCTCCCTCTCCCCCTTCTTTTCTTTCTTTCTTTCTTTCTTCTCTCTCTCTTCTTTCTCCTCCCACCCTCCCTCCCTCCCTTTTTCTGAAAGAGTCTCACTCTGTTGCCCTGAGAAGAGTGCCATGGCGTCAGCCTAGCTCACTGTAACCTCCAACATCTGGGCTCAAGCGATCCTCCTGCCTCAGCCTCCTGAGTAGCTGGGAATACAGGTGCACGCCACTGTGCCCGGCTAATTTTTTTCTATTTTTAGTAGAGATGGCGTCTCGCTCTTATGCTGGTCTCGAACTCCTGACCTCAAGTGATCCTCCCACCTCGGCCTCCCAGAGTGCTAAGATTACAGGGGTAAGCCACCATGCCCAGCCACCTTTCTTCCTTTCTTCTTTTGCTGGAGAGCATTCTGCAAAAACATTGTAAGAAATGATGCATGAGAGGTAAATCAGAGTCCTCTTGTGTCTGAAATTACCTTTACCTTGACGTTTGTTATTTTGTTATATTGACAATTGATATTTTACTGCGTAGAGCATAATAGATTGAAACTATTTTCCTTAGAATTTTTAAGATACTGTTCCACTGTCACTGGCATCTAGTTGAGTTGTTGAGAAGTCAGCTATCAGTTCCTGTTTGTGTTTTCTTTTCATAATTATTTCTGGAAGCCTCTTTATCCCTGTGTTCCAAAGTTGCATGTCCCAGTATGAGTATTTTTTCATTTATTTTACTGCACACTCAGTGGGGCCCTATTCATGTGAAAAATTATGTCTTTCAAGTCTGAAAAACATTCCTGTTTTATCTCTCTTCATTCTTTCTGGAACTCTGAGGATTTTACACACCCTGAATTTATTCTCTAATCCTCGTATCTTTTTTCTTTGATATTCCACTTTCTTTTTGTTCCGCATCTCTGACAGATATCTTCAACTTTATGTTCCAATTCTTCTTTTTAAAAATTTTTTTGATATAATTTTTTAAAAAAATTTATTTGTATAAATTTACAGGGTGCATGGGTAATTTTGTCATATTGCTATACTGCACAGTGGTGAAGTTAGAGCTTTTAGTATATCTATTGCTGGAGAAGTATACATTGTACCCATCATATTTAAAATTTTCTTTTTTAAGAGACAGGGTCTTGCTTTGTCACAGAGGCAGTGGTGCAATCACAGCTCACTGTAGCCTTGAACTCCTGAGCTCAAGTGATCCTCCTGCCTCAGCCTTGTGAGTAGCTAGGACTATAGGCATGATGCACCACCACATCTCGCTAATTTTTAAAATTTTTGATACAGATGGGCTCTTGCTATGTTGCCCAGGCTGGTCTTGAACTTCTGGCCTTAAATGATACTCCTGCCTCAGCCTCCCAAAGGTCTGGGATTACAGACGTGAACCACCAAGCATGGCCCCCATTATATTTTTAATTTTTATGAGTGCTTTCAAGTTTCTTGATCACTTATTATTATAAAAGCTTCTTCCTAATCTTGTTTTATGGATGCAATATCTCCTATCTGAATAAATTAATTGTAGTTTTTTGGTGCTTCATTCTAGTTCCCATATTATCTCTGGATTACTTCTCATTGTTTGATATCCCTGTCTTTCATGTTGGAGGCTCTCCTCAAATGTCCCTGATGGTCAGTTCATATCTAGAGCCCTGTGTGCTGGCTGGAAGCTGTGGGTGTGTATACAGGGTAGCTGCTGACTAGGAGGCTTTATTCAGAGTGGCCACAGGACAGCACGGCAGTAACCAGATGCCCCTGAGTTTCTCCAGAGAAGTTTCTAATTTTCTACCACTGGGTGGAGGGGAGAGATGACCATTAGGTGGGCAGCTTCCCCCTTCAAGAAAGGAGCTGGGAATCTACACTTCAGAGATAATTTTCACTGAATTCTTCTGTTTTCAGCTCTGACTTTTACCCCCTCCATGCCTGGCCACTGTTTCCCAGTCCAGAGCTCCCCAGATTCAACATACCCTCAGGCTGAATCTCTGGTCTGCCAAGCAGAGGGAAGTACTGGTAGTGGTGGCTGGGGCTGGAAAGGGAACCCAGGAGTCCAACTGTCTGGCACACTAGACTCCTATTCCAGCTCTGTGTGCCTCCCCCTGTCCCTACCTTCTGTGGACCTGCTCCTCAGCCTTTGGGGCACTACAGATTTACAGTTTTTGTTTTTAATTACTTTGTCATCATTTTAATGTGTTCTCAAAAGGAAGAAAAAAAAAACCACACGAGGTAAATCTGCCATGTCCAACTGGAAGTCTGCTCACTGTGTATGACTGCAGGCAGTCAGCTGCTTTGAGCCTATTCACAACCAGTAGCCAAGAAGCTCCAAAGCCAGCTGACTCCCCCATCATCCTCTCTGCAAGATGGCAAAGCCTCAGTGCCTGACTACCGGGTACCTGCAGCCACAGCTGCTACTTCTGTCATCTCTTCTCAATTCCTTTGTCTTGGAG